TATGTGTAAGGCATGTCTAAGGTATATATGAAAAAGTAGCTCGTAGCAATTATGAAGCTATAATTTGGCATTCGTGCCTCCTATCCTTGGTTTAATAGGTATCCTTGGATGATCGCCAGCCAATCTCAGACCTGTAATAGCCTCCAGTTCATCGACTGCCTCGAACGCCTTGCCTAGAGGTACTTTGATGGTTCCAAATCCTGATTTCTTAGCTGCTTTCAGGTTCTCCCCAATGTCGTCGAGGAAAACAATCTCGTCCGGCTTCACACCGTCCTTCCAACCCAACCGTTGCCTTCGGTCCTCATTGACATGAGACTTGGCGAATTTGTTCACTTCGTTCAAAGCGTACTCATACACCTTCGGGTCCGGCTTGCGTAGCCCTACGTGTGCAGACGACACGAAGATATCGAACAAGGACCGGACGGGATCGGCAAAGAAATCCTCCTGATGGAGCGTATGACCAGGTGGAAAGATAACAGTATTGCTAAGCGCCGCCAAGATAAATTTCCCACTTGCCCTTAGATTCTTCAGCGCCGGATACATCCACGGGTCTGGCGTAGTGGAGGAGATCATCATGTCATTGAAAAGCCATCGCCCATCAAGATTTGGCACCGGAGGAAGCTCCTTCGCGAGATTCGGGTTCTTGGACTGCTGGAGCTTGTAGAATGCCTCCCACCGTACAGGATCGTGAAGATCCTTGTTAAAGCCGGCATAGAACTTGTCATCCAACAGGATCTCGCTCCTTTCCAACCGATGCCAAAACCCATTAGGGGCTGATTTCGAAATAGAGTAGTTGATCCATCCCGGCGGGATTCCCAAGCTCAGCTCATAATCCAAGATAGACTGGAAAGGTGAGATGACCTACTACAACGTTAGGATTTCTCCTGAACTGGGAAATAAATATGCAGATGTTTTTGTCTCTGAACTTGCATATTGGTGGTACATTAAGTAAGGGTACCTATGATGTCTATGAGAGGAAATAATGCTTACACAGACGCCTCCAATATCGAACAACAGGACTTTGGGTTGCTTATGAGTTGGCATTATAATTTGTAAATCTTCGTACTTCTGTGCATTAGCAACAGTATAATTTCGTGCTGATCAACGCCTGATTTACAACGAAATACAGTAAGAAGCTGAATCTCTTAGATAGATAAAGTTTATCAAGTTGGTAAAACGAAGAAGACGATACCTCTTTCATACTTGGAGTCCATGAACAATCCCGAGAAGATGCCTCGGTTGATGCAAGTCATCTCTAAGTACCTAGGTACCCGGGAACGGTGAGTCAGCCAACCAGAGCTGGTCCGTGCATAGTACGTAGGTACACTCAGTCGTCCCCCACCAAACTATTCACAAGGGTTAGCAAGCGAATTTTCGCCCACATGCACCAAATTTTTAAATCAATCCACAACGTATTTGTTCCTGTCACGACTTTTCAATTTCTTTTCTTTCCATCAACTCCAACCACAACAACACGCTGAGAGCATCTTGCACAATCAGCCAAATCAGTCAAGATGGTGAGTACGACCTGAACTTGAGCTATTGCAATGCTAGAAATGGCGAATATTGCAAACATGGCATTTAATCGCGAGAGTCAACGCAAGATGCTTCGGAGTACGAGATGATATTCTGAAGCGCAAATTGCTGACTCGATGGATCTTGATTGTAGCCGTTCAACAAGGTGATCAAGGGCAGTGCCTACTACAGGTGAGTACAATACCCGCGCTTCAATGATTAACCGTCTGGTCGAGCTGCTGGCTTGAAACAAATCAACTGATCATCATTCGACAGCCGCTTCCAAACCAAGTACAAGCGCCGTCGCCAGGGAAAGACCGATTACTATGCCCGCAAGCGATTGATCACTCAGGCCAAGAACAAGTACAACGCCCCCAAGTACCGCCTGGTCGTCCGCTTCACCAACCGAGACATCGTCGCTCAGATCGTCACCTCTGAGATTGCAGGTGACAAGGTCTTCGCCGCCGCCTACTCTCACGAGCTCAAGGCCTATGGCATCGAGCACGGTCTCACCAACTGGGCCGCCGCCTACGCTACCGGTCTTCTGGTTGCCCGCCGCGTCCTCAAGAAGCTCAACCTCGACGAGACCTTCACTGGTGTCGAGGAGCCTGATGGAGAATTCACCCTGACTGCGGCCGCTGAGGAGGACGGTGAGGAGCGCCGCCCCTTCAAGGCCTTCCTCGATGTCGGTCTTGCCCGTACCTCCACCGGTGCCCGTGTCTTCGGTGTCATGAAGGGTGCTTCCGACGGCGGTATTCTCGTTCCTCACTCCGAGAGACGATTCCCCGGCTTCGATATGGAGTCCGAGGAGCTTGACGCCGAGACCCTCAAGAAGTACATCTATGGTGGTCACATTGCCGAGTACATGGAGACCCTCGCCGACGACGATGAGGAGCGATACAAGAGCCAGTTCCAGAAGTACCTCGACGACGACATCGATGCCGACAACCTTGAGGATCTGTACACCGAGGCTCATGCTGCTATCCGAGAGGACCCCTTCAAGAAGGTGGAGAGTGATGCTCCCAAGAAGACCAAGGAGGAGTGGAAGGCAGAGTCGAAGAAGTTCCGCACTCCTAAGAGCACTAAGGAAGAGAAGCTCGCTAGAGTGCAGGCCAAGATTGCCGAACTCCGCGAAGAGTAAACGGATTGCTCTAGGAAGGATAGGTAAAACGTCACTCTACATTTACGGTAGTCTTCAGGCATCGGAGTTTATAGGGGTGGCTCATCGACAGACCACTAAATGAATCAATGAAATTTAATCACCGTCATCGTTTTCGACAAGCTCATATGCCCTTGATCGTTAGTTCAGTGATAATTATTCCTTATATGTGACACTCTATGGCTTCCTAGCTAGCCGCACAATACGTAACATTTCTAGCTCGGGATAGGATGAGAAAAGTACTGCCTATGAAGCAAAAGGGTAACGAGATGGCAGTATAAACATACGCCTACTGTCTCTCAGACATGGTCGTTGCTCGGTCTTCAGTTGTGTCCCATCCGTCATTATTTGTGTCTCAGCGATCATATAATAATACAAAATGTACTCACAACATTTCAGAAACAAATTTAAATATGTACTTCAGATGGAGATTTAGGTGATTATCTTGTAGAGGCGTCTGCCTCGGCTGTGACGTACCCAAGGACTTCTCAGGGAATAGGAGTTTATCTAAAATTCCGAGCCACCGATGAGCTTAAACACAACACCGGGTCGTTGATACTTTGCGACGCTGCACCCCGGGGACTGTCAACGGTGGACTCGGTCCTGCGGCGCGATAAGGAGCCGTCGGTGGAATATAAGTCTAGCTAGAGAGAGATAGTGCCGTTAATGTCGGCCGAGACCTCGGCGGTCTCGATGGCTTCTGTTGCTGCGCGCGGTTGTAAACTCGTTCTAAAGAACTAAAATCGTCTAGTCGCACATTGAATTGGGCCGTCGCAGTTATGGGTTTCGTCCGACTGGAGAGAAGTTCATGTATGTAGGTAGATACGGTAGCGCTCGACAGCAAAGACATATGGACCTATGGATACCTATATAAATGATGCGTGTGTATAATACTCTTTCCAGAAAAGGCACTCACTCCCTACCTCGATCACACTGTCGCATATTGATACCGAGAAGAAGATTGGCCTGGTACCTACTCCTCCCTTCGAGACTCACTTACCATTCAAGTCATACACTACCCAAGACAATGTCGACAGCACCCAACGACACAACCGGCTCGCCGGGGCGTCTCCTCCGGCTGACTCTGCAGGTCTACGGAAACCTGAAGAATAAGCCGGAGGACAACGAGGCCTTCGCCCGCGAGTACCTCACCAAGGTGGCTGCGATCCACGCGCGCAACGGCATCGAAATGTACCAGCAGGTGTGTATCCCTGGGATGAGATGAGATAGGATGGAGCGCCCCCGGTGTACGAGCTGTAAGACCACGGTTAGACTGATAAGGACCCTGCGCAGATCTACACTCCGCCGCCGTTCCGCGCCGTTTTGGAGGAGATGAGTCGACGGGGAAACCGGGGTTGGGTTGTTGACGTGAGCGCTTGCTTTCTCTTCTTTGCGCATCGCCTATGGATCTCTCCCTCCTCTTTCCCTTCACGAACGTTCCCATCCTCTCCGAAACGTGCCGTGCTTCCTCCCTACGTCCCTCTCGTCTCGTCTCTCCCGCTTCCCTAATCTGCTGTTTACCTACCTACCTGACGCATACCTATCTACATTCCCGTCCCACCCCATCTAACCATAGCCAATCCACAGGACCACGACATCACGGCAGAGTTCTACATGCGCTCGCTCGCGGACCTGGAGCGCGTGCGGAATGATCCGGACTTCAAGGCGCTGCAGGCGGCCGAGGGGCCCTACGTCAACCTGGTGCACACCGTGGCGACGCTGGGCTGGGTCGAGCGCCACGTCGAGGGCGGCAAGGCCGTCAATGTTCAGGATGGCAAGTCCACGTACCCCCCCTGGTCCGAGATGCTGGATATGGGGGGTTTGTTTGGGACGCAGGGTCGGGGTGAAACTCAGACTGGGGCGTAGTGCATGGATACCTAGTGGGTGTATATATATATATAGATTGAGAGAGGGAGAGCCGTCGATATCAAGGTCTATACCATATGGGTGCTGTATGTAGCTTGGCTCTGCAGCACGAAATTCAGTATCGAGCTGAACTAGGTATGCCCTGAGATATGAAGCACTAGGTAGGTAACTGAAGGAAACCTTGCAAGAATTGATAACCACCTTATGTTTCGCACAGTTCCTGAGCTGTGTAAGTCAGAAGATGAGATTTTGAGAGGTTTGGATGGGGGCAACTGTCTGCGTCTTAGAACAGGTAAGACTGGTGATTCCATCTCATATGACAGAAGCGGACCATTCACTTACCGAGGTATAGCCGGCCTTGAGACGCCTGTGGGGTTTCCCAGTAGAGGTATAGTAGCCATTTCCAGGATTTTCAGTAACTCTGAATCTCAATCCAATCCAAGTTCTAACTTGGTCGTGGGGTCCCATAGCTCAGTTGGTTAGAGCGTCGTACTAATATAATTCCGGTTATACTAAGTCCATGCGAAGGTCGAGAGTTCGACCCTCTCTGGGACCAGACCCTACTTAGTTTTTGATAATTCTTTGCGCTGGCATACGGCGTTTGGCTTTTTCTTTTGTCTTTTGAACGAGGACTTAGAAGGAAGATATTCTATGCTTAATTGATTGAATTGTTTCTTGTTACAGCCCAGTGCGAAATGCTAGCTGTCCTTACCACCTATCTAAGGTATCTATTACGGATTCATTCGGAGCAAACCTCCTGTCTCAATTGCTGAAGGTTCGTCCCGGCGCCGAGTTCCCAGAGTATGCAGGTAGCCGTTCATCCTGTTCATCTACATACATATTTTGTGGGCTTATCTAAGCGCAGCCACAGCCGGTCTGTGACTGGTACTGTACCTATGTTTTCCACTGCAGGCCTTTTTTTTGGGTTGCATTTTGCTTTATTCGTTTGTCTACTTGTAGAAGGTAGCTGTGATAATTAGAAATGTCGTGTGTGAAACACGTGTGAAGTGGTTCTAGAACTGATCGTGTGCGGAATTTACTGCATCATTACGTCGGAAATGCCCTGCCCCCCATGCACACTCTCGAAACCCATCACTTGTCAGAGGTATGTACTGTATGTCTTTTCTCGTCACCCAAGAGGAAGTGATTGATATTCGTCCAATAGACCTCGACTGCATTTCTTCGTTTGGAAAACCAATTGGAGTTTGCTTCGTTATCGTTGCGTCGTGTAGGGTTTGGAAGCTTTACGAGTCGGCGACGCTGACTTATGTAGCTTACATCTAGAAAAGGATAAATAGGTACTGGCCTTTTTGCCTCTGGTGTGGTACATAAAGAGAATTTGCAGATAAGCTACATCATAGGCTCTTCACTCTAACTTATGTCGTAACCAGCGTTTAGTAGATAATGTGCCATTATCTTCGTCTCTGTCGCTACATTGCCAAGAACTACACTTATTATTAGCCTACTTCGTACTGCATCTGGTGCGAAGCTGCAGAAGGGGAGCTGAGTCTGGAAGGGTCCATGAGTCGTGGCTAGGTCCATAGATTTCACAGGGGAATAGCTTTGGTATGGTTTGTATGTACAAGTAGGTACAATAGGTACTGTAGATATGTGCCTGCGTCTGCTTTGTTCTTACAATAGGAGGAATTTGAATCTTTGTTGGAATGGTGCTGAATAACGACGAGAGATATATTGGTGTCTATTCCCTTTTTGATGTTCTGCTTGTGTCATTCTGCATTCTGCCACAGGGTCGAATCATCAATGATAGGGTCGGGAGAAGCCGGTCAGCTGATGGGTTCATGCTGGTTTGGTACGATAATACCCAGTGGCTGATCGTCCATTGGTCTTGGCCCAATGACATCGTTTTGTTTCTGGCTTGATTGCACGCATTCAGCCGTCCGTCTCAATTCCTTGGGCATCTCCTTTCTTGCCCCTCATCCTCCTCTAGTTCTTGCCCCTCTCCGTCACTTGTCACTTACACAGCTAAGGAAACATGTGACGTCTTTCGCCTATGTGACGAATACCAAACGACAAGTACTAAACAACGAGTATGGATTCGTACCTATCAAGCATTTGATAGCCAGTCGAGATGTATTCATAACAGTTAGAGTACATGGAACCGGTAACTTGCACGGCGGAAAACAGTGCACATGCGTGTGTGACCTATGACCGCATTGGAGGTAAGGAAGTATATGTATGTACATACATACATAATATTCAGCAAGCTCCCTGGCTGCTGGCACCTTGGCAACAGAGCCCAAGGGCTGGCTTATAGCTTATTAGCTTAGCAGCGGCAGCTAAGTGTGCGCTAAAAGGGACCGCCTGAATGGCGCTGAAGGCTATTGCAGCATCTCGTGCTGCGTTCAATTAACAAGCTGGATTATCGAAATAGGCTCGTCCTCCCACTTCATCTCACCTCGGCTAGGTTCTTGTACTACAGCTTGTCAACGTTGTGATTCCTACCTCACCTATCAAAAAAAGGATTCGGAACTGACAAGAAAAAGAATACATCTTGATGCTACGGATCTAGTACAACCTTACACATAACAACATACTGGAAGCACGCACGTCCTTATTAGAAGTCCTTGCTTACCGCACGGTCTACCTGTCTACCTTAAGGCTGCTGACATATTCTGCATCTTCGTTGAAATTATTTCCCCCATTCTCATAAACTTTGCCTGTTTAGAGGCTTGAAGCTTTTCTCTAGTCACTTATTTACTAGCCATCCATTCAACGTGCACTATCCTCACTCACTTACACGTATTATATCGTACCTCTGTCTCTTAGTCCGAGTCCAATAAGTCCCAACAAAACTCGGCGCCTGGTGTCTTGACTGATCAAAACAAAACATCTCCTCACTGCCGTCGAAGATGGTTCACTTAAATACCTAAGTAACCGTGAACCCCCCACACTATATCTTCGAGTCTTCTATCTACCACCTACCTTCAACCATTATTCCACTCTGTTGTACTCGTACTGTATCTCTCTTTTCCCTTAACCTAGGATCTAGAACCGGGGTACACCCTACACCGTACCCAAGACCGTCTTGCTATCAAATCAACTGGGATGTCGAATGGCTTGGAAGTGGCCCTTGCTTAATCAACAACAAATACATACCTAACGTACTTACATACCGGAGCTGTGCTGGTTGCTTGGAAATTCTATTCCTATTCTGATCAGTAAAATATCAGCTCAACAGTGTCATCATTCCTTTCACCTTACGAGCATCCCTGGCGAATGCGAATTGTCCGCCTTTCATTTACGTACACTACCTACATAGGTAGCCATCCTATCTTGTGAGCGCATTTACCCCAAGACCCGCTCCGTCGCCGCCACAACACAAGGCAGGAAATACATTACGTCCGTACGGATTTGCCTATAGTAAGGGCGGTAGGTCTTAGGGGGCAATCAGGTCATTTCTGCGCGACCTATAGACCTTTATAGGTTGGGTGGTGGCATCGACAAGCAAAATAAAGTACTCAGAGGACTGGAGCGAGCTCTGCTTCAATATGGAGCATGTTATGGATGTGAGCTGGATGACCCATGGGAAAGGTAATGTCAACGTCTCAATTCTTTCATTATCTTCCATATAATTCCAGGTCGCCGGCCTTGTCCGTTGTACTCCGATGAAAGCTGTGGACTAACAATGCTCTCCGAGATCTAGACAACTGGAGCAATCATGGGTCCAACTGGAATTCGGCATCCAATCAACCTCAAGACTCTTCTGCCTCGAATCGTCCACAGAGACCTATGACCCCGAATAAAACCGATGGAAAGGCGACTCCTGCATCACCCGCTCTTCCATCGACACCCACGCCGACAGACTCCTCAATTTCCGCTAGATCTATACCCCAGCGTTCGGGTAGGACGAGGAGCCAGTCGCTCGAAGCATCGCCGGGTCAACATAGCACACCACCTCAGAGGAAGGGGTCATGGTTCTCTAACATATCCTCAAAGTTCTCCGCGTCTCCTGCAGTCAGCAATACAGCTCCTCCGACTCTCACATCAGAGCCGGACGCCGATGATGTAACCCCCCTACCTAAGATATCGCCGAATAAGAATGCTGTTCTTCCTCACGCGTCCCGCCAGAGCGGCGATATGCCCTACATACCCGCGCCTCCGAGATCAAACCAGCAAGGCTTCTTAAATGTGCTTCGCCGCCTTTCGTCTTCGAATGGGCCTATCACACAAAGTTCAAGGGCCAGCCACGGCCTTGTGGAACGCAAGACCCTCAATGTTGATAAAGACCGAGAGAGATGTAAGGTGGGCGGGCTCAGCCAGGCAAAGCTGCGTCGTGTTGCCTTCTGTGTTGACGTCGAGATCGCACCCATGCCCAAATATGCGGATGAGGAAACGGGCCCTAAAAAATCCGTAGACAAGACCCAGAAGCGGAAGATGGCCGAGAAGAGCGAAGGCGAGGCTCTGAAGAACCCAAAAGAGATTGAAGAACAAAAGGAAACTGCCGGGGTAGTCAAAGCAACAGGCGAAGTACTGCCGAAAGAGCCAGAAAAGGAAGGAATAGAGGCGACAGAGGAACATGTGAAAGTGAATGGCGTCGCGGAGGAGGAGCCCACAAGAGAAAAAGAGACGACGCGGAAGAAGGAAAAGAAAAAGAAGAGCGAGGCGGAGCGCAAGGCCAAGAAGGAGCAAAAGCGAAAAGAGGCTCTCGAGAAAGGGGCCATTCCCATGGAGCTCCATCTTGACACGGATAGCTCGGTAGAAGATCTATCGATACGATTAGGGTCACCAAAAACGCAATCGGCACCGACGACGAATCCAGTTCGGATATACCGACGATGTTGCCAGCTGCGAGAGACGGATATCCTCACCAAGATCACCCTCCAGCTTCCGAAGACTACCGAGTCGTGCTCTAACGGTGTTGTTGAGAAGTTGGACCTCACCGGATATTACATGTCGCTGTCCGACCTGATCACTTTGGGAGATTTTCTGGCTGTTGTTCCAATTCGAGACGTCGTACTGGAAAACTGCGGGCTAACTGACGAGGGTGTTCGTGTTGTTCTTGCCGGACTCCTCGCGGCTCGCAAGTCGACGCAGAACAGACAACGAAAGTACGGCGGTAAACCGGCAGACCTGACGCAGCAAGGAGGCGTTGTCGAGAGACTGGTGCTGAAAAACAACAGCAAGATAGGCGTCGAGGGCTGGAAGCATATCTGCGTCTTCATTAACATGTGCCGTTCCATCAAGTATCTTGATCTGTCGAGTCTGGCCTTCCCTGCCCCTCTACAACCTACAAATACGCCAATCAACCACCCCCCACCTCCTGGCCACGGACCTCATCCTCATATACCTATCGACTTCTCATTTCTTCTCTCCAGGTGTATAGGAGAACGTCTGGCCGGTTCTGAATTGGAGCTCCTCAACATTGGCTCGATCGGTTTCACTGCATATCAACTCGGAGTTATCATCGACGGTGTTCTCAGGTCTGGAGTAACAAGACTGGGGCTTGCAAATAACAAAATCGATGCACAAGGTGTTAAGCACGTGGCGAAGTATCTACGAAAGGCGAAATGCGAAGGACTGGATCTTGGCGGTAAT